GGGCAGGTTTATCTCAGCCCCTGCTGGTTATGGCGAACTACATCACGAGCTAAGTCGAATTACATTTTCATCTCCTCGGATCCATTATAAGTCTGAAGTTTGTCCGCCGTGACCGATTTGGAATCGATGGAAATCGAAGAGGACTACCATGTCATTCGATTATGTCCTGGATAGGGCAGCTAACATTACGAAAGTGCTCTGTGTTTTCCCTGGTCTTCGCCATCGCTTTCATCGACGCCTTGTTCTCGACTGTAGATGACTGTACGACGGCTAACTTTTGTATCTTAGAACGACTGTGTGCACATCCGCAGCACGTGTAACTCAACGCCTGTTCTAGAAGTTTGAGTATGTCTAGATAGTTCATCGTGGCATTTGGGTCCTGCGTTTACACTGCGAACAATGTAGGAGCTTTTTTTCATTTTATACGGCTAAGTAGAGTAGACTTCGCGACCGATCACCTTTTTAAAATTAATGACCGTGGTAGTAGGCCACTGGCAATCGGCAATGACATCGTTCGTAAGTCCAACAGGTTCACAGGTGTTCGATGAACCTTTTCCTACCACTATATATTGAAGCATCAGTTAAGTTGAGTTAGGTAGGTGGGAGGCAATCGTTGTCGATTGATATGGCCAAGCCAAGCATCGAACAGATACGATTGGTCCGAGAATGGAGTTTTGGTAGACCTGGAAGCCTTGGAGGTGATTGTTGGGGGCAATGGCGTGTATTTGGTCTTCGCCGATAATTGTATCTTACAGACACTGCGGAGGTGAAAGCATCGGCATTGTTTCCTCATCGTTTAGTCGAGTTGGTTGAGCCGAGCTAGAACAAACTCACAGGCTGTAGTATTTTGTTCGATGGCGGCATTCTCTACGAGTGTATGCTGAACGTGGCGTCAGCCTCTGACACACGTTGGTATACTTTTCCAAACCTATTTGATTTGGATCTGCCGTGTGCTAGCGAGGCTTTACGCTAGGCTGGCGACCGCCCGCGACCCCATTTACAACCGCGCTGTCCTGGTCCTACCAAGGGAATGTGATAGTCGTAAAAAGAAGAGTGACGTTGGTGCTCCCACACTGGCAGACCGCCACATTACAGTCTACATTACGTGTCGGGATGAATAACGCCTTAAGCCTTTGTGACCCTGCCTTTCCGTTAGTCATGCTGATGCCGCAGGTCAACAGAAAAAAGGTTATCCTAGACAGCATGAAGTTGTGCTTGCGTTCTTTCTCTCCGAAGACCTTGCATATCATTATTTTGAAATCCACTCCTTGCATATTACGCTGATGTTTTCTTTTCCTCCTTTATAGTGGCCACAGCGCCATCTGGTTTGACGAATCCCTAAAGTACGGTCGTAGCGAGGCTACGGACACCTTTGACAACCCCGTCCTCTGTGGCCAGTCCAAACATGCGGCCAGGGGAGTTATTCACCGTAATCCTTCGGCCAAATCTCTTCAGTCGAATGATGTCTGTCCTTCCAGTGTGCCCTTTATAATCGACCAACTGGAGGTGTGGGAGATGTTTACCTGACTAGTCCCCTAGCCTTCTGTTTTCCCCCTAGTCATGGTACACTTAGAGCCCCTCCAAACCCCCGGCCAGAGATAAGGAGGGTGATGCTTTTACTCTTAGTCATACAATCTCACACAGCCGTGTTGCTTCGTTCCTTCCGCAATTTTAAAGTGTATTTTACCTTTTTTCTACCGCTGACCGCTCTCCAATGCAGACATATCTCGTTTTTTGTTTAATATTTCTGTTAGCCATAGGTGTTTGTGCTTCGATTTTAATTTTCTCAACTTAATATATCTGACAAGCGTTGGACGACAAACTGAGGGGGTATGGGGTTATTTGTGCCGCGAGCTCCACGCCTGATTATCACCTGGTGAAACAGGCAATGGTCATAACGATGAATTAAGTGAGTGCTTATTTACCGCTGTGTGCGGTCGGATGGAATTGTTTCGGGAAGTTACGGTAGACCGAGAAGAGTGGACGAAACGCTCAGCTGTTGCCAGTTCACCTACTTGCAGGACTGACTTTTATGGCCCTCTAAACAGGACATGAAGACAGCAACCGCCTGCAATACGGCTGGCCTTGAGCCAACTCCCAGTGAAAGTAGGTTAAGGTTGGGGTTAGGTCAAGGATTATGCTTAGCGCTAAGTTTAAAGTTGACGGTAAGTCAGGATCAAGTTTAGGGTTAAGGCAGGGGTTAGTATTGACTTCAGAGTTAGGGTAGGGTAAGTGTTAAGATTAGGGCAACGGTAGTTTTATACTATGTTTGTTGTTGGGGTTAGGACACGGAAATATTTTTCCCCTTCCGAAGTTATGCACAGGCCCGTCTATATTAATTGAGCGGGACCCTGTTTAGGGGACCATGCAAGTCACTCCTGCCGCCCTCGGTTGCACTCCACCATTTGTTATCCTGACCGAGAGTATGGCCGTCTGTTAGAATCGCAGTTCACAAGCCCCGTTGATGGAATACTTCGAGGCGATTGACACCTTCTGGGTGCACAGGCTGCGCCCTACGTTCTTGTGCAACTACTTTTGGCAAACAACCCACATAACCTCTGACTTCCCGGCCCCCGGATTCCACCAAGTCAAGGGGGGGGGGGTCGTGTGCTGGTGGTCGACTTGACCTTCATCGCGCCCACCTGGTAGTACTTCCGATCGGATTTGGCAGTAGCGCAAGGGTTGGAAGTACGGCGTTATCACCACGACCTGTTGTACGCAGGGGTCGTTGGGTGGAGATCGCATCGGCGCCACTGGCCCGAAAGTCAGGTTAAGTTGTGAATTAACCAACGGCCATTGCTTGCGGTTGTTTTGTTGCGCAACCGGGCCCTGAAGTTGAAGTTGGGAATCCGTATCCTAGTCCGCCCCGACCGATAAGCGAGACCTTAGCTGATGGCAGGCGACATTTGTCACTTGGTAGTAATGCTATGGTTCGCGACTTTATGAATAACCAGCCCACTTGACGTGTTTCCAACCACGCTTGAGGGCATTCTGAACTACCTACAACTGCTTTGCCAGACTGCTCATCTCCCAACTAGCCTTGACCGGAGGTCGTTACACCGACCATCGCCTGTGCACATGTCGTGTACCCCACAGCGTGTCTAATAAGCACCTCGTCTTCCGGAGCCCCTTTTGTTCAGAATTTAGTTTTCTCACTATAATCGAAGTCAATGAACTGTGATGGCTTCTCGATGTGGCCCGCTTTCGTGAGATCAGATACCCATCGTTGACGACCGGCTTTTCTGGGCGTTAGCGGCCAGCATGTGCCTAGTTCACACTGACACAGCTCCTGTGCCCGCCTCAATCTCCAGTCGCGCGAACTCCGCACTGTCTTCAGAATATGATAGGCGTGGGAGGACGTGATGAGATGGACGCTTCGAGAGTCAGGCCATCTGTGATCTCTAGTGCACCCTAAGGATCGCAATCCATTGAGATTCCAGCGACACATTGGTGCTCTTGGAACAACCCCTGGCACAAAGCTGGGAAGTAAGACATGTTCATCATACCACTTCCTATGGCTTTCGTGACTTGACCGTAGGTCAGTTAGTAATGAATTCCGTCCTGGTGCCCATAGGCCATTTATAAATGTGCACACTACTTTGTTTGTTAATTCCACAAAGAAAATATCTTTGTGACGGCAGTGTGCTCCCAACAGCAACAAATGAGACCCTGGTGCTGCACTAATGTGAGATAAGCTTCTGGGTGCACAAGCGCGACCTTGTTTGTTAGACACGTACTTTTACGAAGGTGCCTGCTCCGAGAAGTTCAAACCGCACCAAAATAAGTACGTAATGTTTAAATTTGACAGCAGAACAAGGTCGTAGCCAAAAATGCCCATGCTCCGGTCTGAACGCACGCCTATATTACCATTAAGTCGCCATTTCCCCGCCTCAACTCATTTGAGTTTGGAAATTCCGCAACGCACTATCGTTTACGCATGGCGAGATTTAGGGATTATACTCGATTAGTAAGATCTCTAAAAACCGAGAAACATGCGATATCAGACGAATCGCTGTGAACATTTAGCCAGACTCCCGGAACGCTGACTTGTATGAAGCACGATAAAGCATGTCGGCATCAAGCGGGGTCAGAATGTACAACTCGAAACTACTTCCAACGTTACTCCAAGAAATTACGTACGAGATTCGCTGGCGAGTGTCAGGGTCCTTTTTGACGACGGGGAACACAAGAAATTGTCGAAAGGAGTGCCGGACAAGACTGATGTACAGATGCAGCCGCAGCCAAAAAATGCAGTCAGGCGAGATCAAAATGCGACTGTCCAAGTATCGAGGTAGTAACATCCTGATTTCAGGCATGAGGAACCACACTCCCACTGCCGGGGCTTGCGACGGATATCAGCCGCAAACCTCGAGTTCGTATTGAGTGCTCTGTCGGTTGGTCCGCCAGCAAATGTCCACCAATAACGGGAATAAGCTAACAGGGCTTAGAACAAGTGAATAAAAATATCACTTGCTACAAATAAGTACTGCTTTCTGTTCGCACGTGGTGATTGTCTTTAAATTTATCACTTCGGACGGGTAGTCCACATCAGTATCTTTTATATTCATATTGACCCAACTGTAACAGGTAACTTGACCCAAATGTGATTGAACTCGCGTCGTCCGGCGGGGCCTCGTAGGTCAAGTGGTTAGAGCGTTGGCTGTACCAAAGCCTTCCCCTTACTACGTGGGTTCGAATCCTACCGAGGCGCCGAGTTTTTCACAGTTGGGTCAATATGAATTATTTAAAATCTGCCAAAACATCTATGAGCTAGTACCTTTCGTCCTTTCGTTATATCAAATTTGGCCGACAGAAGGAAAGAGGGGGTACGACTTGTAGAAATTACAAAACGCTATTGTACAGAGGGCGCGTATCCTTCAAAAAACGAAAGCAATCAGGTATGACACAGTAGATAGCAAAATCCCACAAATACATTTGAATCAGAACTAGGAGGAAGGGACTGTTCGTTAATCACTACGGGTAATTGAGTGAGTACTTGTTTATAACAAGCGGCTCTTCTTCTCTGGTATTCCCGAGGCTGATTTCAAATCGTGTTCGCGGCCCTGAAAAGAGAGGAAAAACGTCTGCTGTGTCGACTCCAAAGCAACAAAACTTGAAAGCACTAAAATAATGAATTATCACAAATAGTCATTCCAAGTAATAATTAGGCAGGTCTGGCGAGAACGAAGCCCAGAGTGGTCAATTAGGTGACTGGAGAGTTGTTAAGCGCAGCCTGTCAATTCTAACCTCTAACAAAAATCAGTTATCACGGCGAGGAATTCTTCCAGCCAGTTCTCGCTGCTGCGCGCAGACGGCTTCTTTATTGCGCTAGTCAGCAGTCCATGTCTGTGCATAAACCGTAAAAGTGTTGGTAAAGTGCCCTCCCGCACAGGTACGGAGGCCAGTCGGTTATCAACCGCTTCCAACACAGGTGGCGCATGGTGCACCTGTTACACGATGATATGGGATGGGACAGGAGCTCACCCCGGAGGTCGTGACCACCTGTGAGTGGGTCTGGGACTCAGATGCCAAGCAGGTAGCAGATATCTACGTTGTGCTAATAATGACTGAACGCCGTTAGACGTTACAAAATTTGGTCCAGAAAGTTGTACATACCAGCATTTAATAGCCAGGTAGTCAAGTTCTCGCACTGTTCTTTCTCATCAGCGGACCCGGGTTGCGAAACGCGTTAGGTTCCGCTTATGACGTGGCTTAGATAGCCGTATCTGGACAGGATATTTTTTCATGAGGTTTCTCAGGATGGTTCGGCGCAAGTGAGTCGCCAACAACCGACCAATTCGCCAGTCGTGGGTTGCTGTCTCTAGCGTTCCAATTCGAAAATTCGACCATATGGAAGCGCTGATAGGCAAAGGCATTTAGTGGTTGCAAACAGGCGTCACATAATAGTGCTGTTATTGGGCCTTACAATATTTTAGAGGGTGCCAACGTGTCAAACAAAAACAAATGGTTCCTCGGAGGAGCTAACACCAAAAAACTCCAAACAACTGGACTTTCGAAATGTGGACAAGCTAATAAATTTGTCAAACAAAGCAACTGAATGAATTTCTAGTAGAGAGCAATGGTCGCGGACAGTTATCGCACGCCAAAATAGGGCGTAGGCTGCATTCATTCAGGATCGATTAAAGCTTGAGCAAAAGATGAGTGAAGACAATCAAGAGGCAGGAGGAGGGCAAAACACGTACGCTGGTTGCATGTTGAGTCAGAGGGCCCGACTGAGTCTGCGGAGTGTTTGCGGATGGCTGTTGTGGAGTCTGAACGGTGGAGCTGCCAGTGGTGGTGGCGGTGGTGGTGGGAAGAGGCGGGAGGGGGAATCTACTGGCCCACTCAGCGAGTAAGACCTCCATAGGGTGGACTTGGTAGTAGTTTGTGGCAACATTTGATTCCGACTTCTGTACAGTCTTGGCATCGTTATCTGGACTGCTACCTTCGGGGGCGCCATCATTACTAGTAGATCTCCCCAGGAGCTTTTTAGGGTCATCCCAGGAGTAAGATCCATCAGGTGGATGGTAGCGGGCGCAAGGAGCCAGAGCCTGGAGAAATGAAAATTGACAGCCTAATACACCATCAGTCAGTAGTGACCCAGAAAATCAGCTTTGGGACCAATTTTAACTAGAGGATTCCAAATAAGCAGGATCTAATACCTATCCAAGAGCCTTTTGAAACGTATGCAAAACTGTCCAGATATGCACAAACGTGTCCGCCGTGATGTTTACATGCCTAAGGGCAAAGCTCGCCGCGTCCTGGCATTTATCTGTACTGGCTACGGCAACGCTGACGCTACAACTCTGAACTCTTCCACACAAATCACCAAAGGCCCCCTACCTACCCCCTGTGTCTTGCGAATAACTGTCCAGACTAGTTTTTGACAGGGCGGAGAGCAGTGGCCCGAGCCCTCCATTTGGGCTTACGAATGACAGAAATTCGTGTTTAAAATAGATCTTTACTCCGTAGGCCTCTCATCCGAACCAAATGCCCCTAAGTCATAATTAAACATGCCTATTGGCCGACCGAAGAAGTGTAATCGAAGGGGCCGGTATTTTGTCGAAATGTAAACCTATGGGAAAGCAGCACACAATGCCTTGCTGTAAGATAAAGTTCCAATTTGGGACCCGGAATTTAGAGGAAACAAATTGTCCACATGCAGACAGACACAGCAGTCCCATATCAGGCAGGACGCATACGGAACTCTGGTTGGCCGAAATGCCAAAGCACGAACGATAATTCCCTGCTAAGCATAACAGTAGTGTCGACAACGCTGGAGGGTAGGAGCTCGTCCCAACAGGAAGATAATTCAGTTTGCCTAATTGAATACCCTGGGTTCCCGAAAAACTGGACGTCCTGTCCTTGAAGGCAACGTTTGGGCTGAGTAGACGACCTGATTCATGAGTCTTGACTGATAACGACATAAAAAAGGCAATATGACATCTGTAGGAGAATAACATAGATGTGACAGAAAGAAATATAATAGGAATTCCGAATGATAGAGAATAGGTGTGGTCCAGGTAATTGAGTGGAAGACGGGAAGGCGATCGCTGAGACCAGTTGCTTATGTATCCGACGTTTCGAACTCTAACGTAGGTCCATCGTCAAGGAATGTGAGGCTGCACAACTCGCTGCATATTTAGCTCACTCCGACCAGGGACTACCTCCAGCTACGCTACTAATTTGTCAATGCAGTGCTTGAGAAGCGATTGTCAGATCGATATGCTTACTAATCGAGTTTCCAGTTGTGTCACGCTTCCTGTTGCGCGCGGTCAGTCACCACAACATGTGGGAGGACTTTAGGTCGAGTATGCGGCTAAAACAAATTAGACGGTTTGAAAACAATTCCCGCGTACGGTGTGACAGAGGTATGAACAATCATGCACACATCCCCTCCAGCACCAAGTGGGGGATGTACAGGGTCGTAATACTGCCTGCACTGTCCTTCGACGCGGATACCCAGACGGTGTATCTGTGTTAAGCTAGAGGGATTGGCCTCACCACAGCGGTTGTCTGCTGAAACCCTAAAAGTGAAGTGGCAGGAGTGAGTCAAGGACAACTACGTCCTGGAACTGACTTAAATGCCCAGCATTTCTGTGGTGAGCGGTCACACCGTTAAGACGCTAGAGGAGCATCTTTCGAAGCGATTATTCAATGGCTGACGGCGTTGAGTTTGTTCCCAGACGCCGGTCGACTAGTCTGAACTACGCTGATTATATCGTCTAGCTGGCTTCAAGCTTTTGTGGTTTACAGTCCATGGTGTCACGGATGAATAAAGTCGCCATAAACGCTGGGCGGACCGAACTGTTTTAAAGCTGCATCCCTGACCAGGAGAGAGCGTCCCTCGAGATGAATGGTTGTCAACCTGAAGGAGCGGACAATTTACAACACCTCGGGGCGAGACTGCGGTTTGATGGGCAGGATAAGGACGACATTGTCTCCCAAATCAATGCTACTCGCAGGGTTGTTTTAGAGCTTTAGAAAATGCCTATGAACCCAGTGCGACATCTCCATCGCCACGAAGATTCGCGTGTACCGTGCATCTGTCCAGCCAGTCCCTCTCTACGGTTGTAAATGCTGGGCTGTGCGCGTGAAAGACGAGCGAAAACTGGAGGCATTTGAGCACTACCGCTTGATAACCATCCTTCGGGGTAGGTACATGGACCTTGTCTCCAGTGAGACTGTCCGCACTCGCTCTGACAAAATCACAAGGATATCCCAGGCCATTCAAAAAAGATGGCTGAGGTGGTTTGAGCAGGTTATTCGTCGTCCACTTCACGGGGTCAGTTTTGCTGCCCTCGATCCAGAACTTACCCACTTGAAAGCGTGGAAGAGGTCAACTCAAAGCCTGGTTTGAAAAAGTCCATCAGGACATGGAAGTGGTTATTGGGGTTCCGGTACTCGGTATCCGTTGCCGGCCAGATCCGCTGTCGCGGATCGTCACACGTGGAGGTGTACAGTCTGTGGCACTTTCGAAGCCTGCTAGATCAGGCCGCATCAAGTTGAAGTACTCCTATTTATTGTAAATACCGCAGGACGCAGTGCAAAACCCACTCCCGACTAGGGCTTGTTCACATTTGAATTTTCGATACATTAAACCCGAGTTCCTGAAAATTGCATTTTATTTGCATTTCTCTCGGGAGACACGCATCTGTAAGGAACCTTTGCATGTTATATGCGCGTTCTAAAAATATACTCTCCGAGCATCCTTTAAAACTTTCGGCAATAACGACCGGGCTTCTTGTGCTTGTGTGTTACGACATCCTTGCCTTCCTCACTCTCTGTTCACCAGAGTGAGCGATTCTCCACTCTACCCGCAGTCCATAAAACATCTTTTTATAATCCCATTTCTTTTGATTGTCGATTCCCTTTACGTTTCGATTGTTAGTTCCAATATCAATTCGGCATCTCTAACAACAATGCTTTCCCCAGCAGCCTCTTTGTTTATCTATCTGTTATGCAAGATTACCGAGCCAGTATGACGTAGGGTTAATTCAAAGGAGAATCAGACGGGTTGTTATCTTAAAAATATATAAATATATATTTCTGAACACTGTCGAAACCAGACAGCACGCAGTTATCCCACTCAAAATAGGGGACTTAAATGTCACAATCAGAAGGGCAGGGTGGGTCAGCATATTTCTCCGATACGTAGAGCACAAAGTCAGATTAACTGAGCCGTAGTAGGGCATCCTAGGTCTATACTGATCCTGAACAGGAACCTCCCATTGATCAGCCTTCTGCGCTATCGGAGTAAGAGCGTACAGGAATTCATTCCCGATGTAAGACCGTCTTATCTTTCCTCAAAGCCACAGCAACGAGATCGAATAGCATTTTGTCATCCAACGCACGTGAGATTTTCCCTCGAGTCCCCTGATCTGCAGAAAGTGTCATGGAGGCTATCGCTACTGAGTCCGCTGATTCGTCGAGTGAAAAGATTTCCCTCCCCTTCAAGGTCTTCCCGGGCAGTCTCTTTCCTAGTCCAGCAAGTTTGTGCTTCCGCAACAACGACTTTATGCTCCAAGTTTCCTTGGATGCCATTCCACCAAGTTAGTTGTGCTTGACTCTCATACTCTTGATCCAATTGTTTTTTTTTAAACAACATAACATGCCCACCGGCACTCGACTTTTTATGGTTCTAAGTTGAGTAGAAAAAATTATGGCTTTTAACCACTAACTGTTACTAGGTGCAGCTCTCTCTATCAGGATAAGAGTCATTCGGTTCAGCTCTGCCATTGTTGACATTTCGCCGTTTATCTGCTACTACAGAAGTCGTCGATCTAAACGCCTCCTAGAACTATGTGATTTTGCATGTTTATATCCGGCAGCAGTAGGTTTCGGCATAGTTGCTTCAAGCCGACTAGACCGGCTATGAACTTTGTAAATTTTTTTATCCCTTTTGGTTAAGATGTTAGAATTCTGTACCTTCGAAGAGAGTGGATTGAGCTATCCAGATCTGCTGCCGCGGATCGTCACACGTGGAGAGGTACAGTCCGTGACAGCATCGTGATGCGCTAGACCAGGCATGAGCACAGGCGCACCAGGCAACGAGTAACTATACTTAGGAACAAACATGTCAACACCTAACCCCCTTGAACGTGTTCTCACTGGTAGAGTACACTCAGGGTCTTGTCAGCGCCCTCACATATACGTCAACAACAAAAACAGCATCAGTAATGAGGACACTGTGCAGGGTACATAGCTCATAACACCGAGAAGCTGAAAGACCTCTATCCGCAGAACTGGTCTAACGAAACTGGCTCGTTTACCTCCAGCTGCATTTGTGGCTTCAAAGTGGAAGAGATTGGATGGAACATTCGGTGTAGTAACTGCGAAACCCAGATACACGAGTGCTTCTCCTAACAATCGCCCACGTCGCCTGATCGTCTGCCACAGGTTCAGCTATGGACCTGCCCCACTTATTTGATCGCCGGTTGGATTCTATTCAACTACAGTGGGTTCACCCTATGAGGAGGCAACATCAGACAGCAGTTCAATCATCAGACACATCCCCACACCTACCAGAAAAGCATTCCACCTAAACTACGAACAAGAAAGTGATAATGGCTATCGTTGATTATGCCGTAGGAACTAGAAGTAATTTAGACACAAGTCACAGTAGTCGTCAGGGTTGACTGAGATTATTCGGGGGGAAACATACAGTCTGAAACTTACTTGTATAGTCTTGTTTAGGCCATGAATGACAGTATGAAGGCGTGCATTCACGAGGGTTGCTAGGTCAGGTGCCTGGATAACAGTTCCATTGACAATGTAGTAGTAGGCAATCGGGGTGACCAGTGTTGTCGACAATCGCTGCTGCTTGCGAATCACAAAGAGCACTGGTTCCTATAGATAAGACGAATTTTTCTTGGTAAACATACCGAGGCAGGCAATGAGAAAAGACAGCAGATTACATGAGCACAATCGATGAGTTGGTCATTTTATACTATGCCGGCCCGGAGATACAGGTAAGTGAGGAATGCTGGCTGGGGATTACTGTGGGACGCTTCTCTGTTTATTCACAACAACTAGTCATGCAGAGGTGGGTGTCGGCAGCCACTTGGCCATTTATCAGAACCCGGGCCAACTTCAAAGAGGTAAGTTGAGGCTTGAGGATACCTTCAAATATTTCACATATTTTCCCTTTTCTAACAAGCCTACCTAAAAAACATTAACCCAGAGGAATATGAAGACCTTTTACGTATAAAGATAGGACGAAGAGAGCAAGCAGCACAAATACTTAAACAAGTTTGAATATGCACAACTGTGTTCGAAAATTGGCATTCACGGCATGCGAGCATAATAATAGCATTTTGCAAACTTTGGTGGCGTCTCATGAGTGCGATACGAATCTGAGAGCAAGTGAACGAAATCAAGTAATAACAAACAAGTCCGGAAAGTACAGCCAGTTAAGCGTAAACAACAGAATAAAAAAAGACAGAAAACACAATGAATTTACTCGCCTGAGAGTGATGTAAATAGAATTCAATGCCTGTCATTGAAACTAGTTGCTCAGGACTCAACTTTTGCATTCGGATAACCTCATTATTGCACTCACGATCATAGAAGGGATTGGAGAGGTCGCAGAAGTACTCAAGGACGTTCGCCGCACAGAGGAGATGGGGACTAAATAAGGGGTTGGCCCAGGAAACCTCATAGAGAGAATCGGTTTCAGTCGATATTTCGGCGGACATTGCAAAGAAGCTTTAGAAACGGCTGAGTTGAGATTTGGCCTCTTTTGCTTTGCGTTCGAAGAAGTCGTGTTTCGCCTGCAGGTATTTCATGCGGAGGACATGGGCATAGTATCCGCAAGCAAAGCCAAGACTAAAGATAATTACCGCAGTCGCAGTACGCATATGCGTGTAAATCTGAAAAGCGCGTCTACGAAACACGAAAAGCGAAGTTCAAATATGAATAGCGCATATTTATAATCTAACTGAAGACCTACTTAGATACGCGGCTTGCGTTTCTGCAAATAATAACTTACCAACTTTTTAGTAGGGCCACATTGTATGCTAGTGGTTGCCACCAAACGAAAGACTGATTTACATCTGAGGCATATAGAAGACTAAAACTGAGCGTAAGCTCAGGAATTTATAAAGGACGAGTGAAGACCCATAATGCGCACACAAAGGAAGGTACTGCGTAAAATGTACGTCTTAGAGGTGGGTGGAGCTTGAAGACGGAACGACGGTAAGGGCGATGGTGTAGTAGTGAATAGAAAACTGGACAAAAATGAACAAGATTCAAATTGTCCAAAGAAATAAAGTCACTTGTTCATACATCAATGCGAGTATATGGAACTCAAGTGATGTAAGAATAAGCGTCAGTTGGGAGGAAATAATCATGTAGGAAATTAGACTGGACAAAGCTAAGTCTCGGCCAAAAGTGTCATGCGCAGTTTCCCCGAGGTCTGCTGAACGCCCGCAAACGTTGCCTCAGTTTATTCTAAGAGCTTACTATGTGGTTGGCGATTACGCCAGTGCCACTCTCAACAAAACATTGGGCTCCACTAACAAAGACACCGTCGTGTTTGAGAGCATTGTTGGGCAGTCAAGTATTGGACGCAATGACAGTTCCAGAACTCAATCAACCCCATATGGCTGTAATGAGACCAGACATTGAGCGCTTATTCATATTTTGAAAGAGACTTCGTCTTTGTCTTTATCATACATCCCAAGTATTCATTCTTGGTGGCAAGGCCAGCCACTCATCATTAGTTTTGTTGGAGACACGCTCCCTCACCTCCCAAGAGTATCAGCAATCTATTGGCATATCTGCGCATGTTCTTTCGCACTACTGATACCATTCAGTGATCCAAGCACTACTAACCACCAGCGTCATCAGGTTCGCAAACGAAAGATGCACAAATGTGCAAGACAACCGGAACAGGTGCACCGTTGTCACAGCAGAATATGTCTGTTCTGGCGCCCTCCAGGTTCTTACGCGTGTGGAAACTCAAAACACAACCACCGACCGTTCTTGACGGCTTCTTCAGCACCATTCCCTTCCTCGAATCCGAGGTAATTAGACAGGCCAAACAAATAAAATACGGCCGTTTGTACGCACTTCCCTTCAACACCTTGTTGTTTATATCAACTTTGGGCATCTTGACACGTAATAACAGTCAAGCATATTCCATAGAAGACAGACCTTACGTCCTCTGTCCAGGTAGGACGACATGAACTGAAGGTTTCCTTGATGGATAAAGTACCACGGGAAACGTCTGATTCAACTGGTCGCTCCAGCGAACAATCTTAAAATACAAGAACCTGCGAAAGAATTAACTGTTTCCCATATTCATGCGATGTTCGGTTGCCCTTTATGTGCCACTGAATTTGCCCTCAATCAGCAATTGGGTTTAAACCCGAATTTAATTAGGTTTGGGCTTGCTAAGTAAAATCATTTAAGTTAATCGCACCATAATATGGAAATTTATCTGAGCTGTGCCCGAAAGGTTCCATAGTTAACCAAACAGGCAAACACGAATAAATCAAAACAAGGTGAGGGTAATGCCTTGAGCAGTTTGGCTTAATCGCGGGTGAAATCTTGTAGGGTCGCCATTCCCTATAAGTCAGCAAGTCCCGCTCAGTGATTGGTTAGATTTCTCCGCATGCACTCCAATAATACTCCTCACTGATTTCAATCGCGTACGCTGTAGTAATTTTAAGTCAGAGAATTCACACGATTTCCTAACTTTGTTAGTAATGGAGCTATTGTATGGGATGTGGTTTGGCAGTTAATTTAGGGTTAGAGCTAGGGTTTGACAGGAGTTTGGCTCACGACGAAGTTTACTGCTGAGGATTAAGCCTTATGTGTCAGCCCAACTGAGCACGACGGAATTATTCTGCGCTCCAACTGGGACAATTTCGACTTGGTTACCATTCCACAGTTACAGTCTCTGACATTGATACTGGAACCGTACGTACAGAGTTACTTTGTGCATTTTTGGAATATTTTTTCACGCATCGAAAACCAATCGCTCAAAATCCTTCAAGGTCTGCAGTTATTCAAGTCCCACGATATCTGGAAAGGGCTAAGTCGCTTCTGATTAAATTCAACAAAATTTATCGGATTTTAAGTATTTTTTCGCTTATTGAGTTTTGAATACTCACTTTAAATCATCATATATAAGCCGACGTATTCGTCATAACATCGAAAGCGAAATTATACCTATCATATCACGTCGAGGTTTATGGATTCTCAGCGAGCTAACTGTAGTAGTACGGCCAGCGACGACACCTCTTTGGAAGATAAGTCCGGTTAGTTGTCCTTCGCATTCAGAACCTGTGCTCGCTCTACCTTCGCATCCAGCCAACGACCAGCAAAACGTGCAAAAAGCGTAAATACCGCAAAAAGTGTGAGGTACGAAGACGAGCCTTCTGGTGGGTGCGCAGATATTCAAATCAAAGTAGAACAACTGGAAAAGGAGCTTGCTGATTTAAGGACGCTCGTGAAACAGACCTTAGTCGGCCAGAACGTGTCCAGTGTTAGAATACCAAAAACGAAGAGCAAAACGCAAAAAACACAAAAATATCCCCTCGGCGGAATCTTCAAACACGAGTAGCAACTCAACAGCCAAAACCGCAGACGCCGGTAACAGCAGGACAATGAAAATGAAGCCGCCGATAAAGGGCGACTCGATTCCTACGCACGATGTCTTAAGCGATGTCGCAAAAAAATGACCTGTCGCGGAAGCCATCTCACCTAAGCCTCTTGCTGTAAGTGATGGGATTTGTGTTCTGCCTGGAGACGCTATACCTGGGTCATTCAGTCTACTGTTGCCCTCTTGTTCTGGCAACCACCCCGAGCGCACTACAGAGCATGTATCTGAATGCGAAGACAGAAACCCGTGGGTAGAGTGGAGAGGGAAACGCCATGACAGGATTCTGAAGCCACAGCCAGCCCTGATGGGTTGCTCGGGACAGTCGGTAGACAGTAAAAGTGTGCGCCCAAGCGATGACTCCGTAAATCGTCCTCGCCCACATGCAGCGCATTCACCCGAAAGACAGAGTAAGGAGGACCATGCTCGCCAGCAGTGTCTGGTTATTCAGGGTTTGTCAGAATCGAATGCAGTCAGACCTGAAGACCGTGTCTCAGAGGACCTTGCTTCTTTTCATGGTCTGCTAAATCATTTACTGCCGGCAGACATGGAAATAAAGGTTCTGAAAGCATTCCGGATAGGAAAAAGGAGTGAAGACAGGACAGTAGCACAACCACCTCGCCCTCTCAAAATTATGCTGGAGAACAAAGAGCCAATCAAGTTTATCCTCTCTAAAAAAAACCGATCTCAGAATCACACACAAACAGGTTTTTTTCAACCGGACTATTCACCAACGGAACGGTTGAAACGCCGGGAACTTGTCTTGGAGTTAAAATCAAGACTGAAGGATGGCGAACACAATCTGGCTATCTTCAAGGGGAAGGTAGTTCGAAAATATATGCCGTTTCAGTGGAACCAGTCTGTAAAACTACGAACGATGACAGCTACTCAGCTAAAACAGACACCTTCGTTGAACCACCTGATTAAGGCGCCAACACAAGTGAGCCCGTAGCGTCCAGTGATCTAACTGAAACAAGGCATGTACATAGAACCAATTAGGTAACGGAAGAGCCTAGAGAACACGACGTCCGCGATAACGGAGTAATGCTCACAGCAGTAACAAATTCAACGGGAAATTCGGCTGGTGCTAAACTGAGGTGCTTGTACACGAATGCCCAAAGCCTCATATCGAAACTAGACGAACTAAAACTTTGCCTTGTTAAGCTGTCTCCAGATGTTTTAGCAGTAACTGAGACCTGGCTGTCCAGGAATATTAGCGATAACGAAGTAGCTTTGCCTGGATACCAAATTTATCGGAAGGACAGGGAACATCGTCAGGTTGGTGTAATCGTTGTGTATATGCCTGGAAAAGCTGGTTAACTCGGTCATGAATGGAAGTGAAATCTCCTGAGACACGATCGTCAGTTTAGACAAATCCTAAGCACTGCTGGCGGCCACGATACTCCTTATTTTGACTTCCTAGTAACTTCTCTCTATGGCGAGGAGGTTTATCTACGGGACCCTCATTCTGATTCATTTTTTTTTGCTGCAGATCAGCCATCCAGAGGGACATATCAAGGTGGATTTTGACTTCGACCTCCCGTTGTGACGTTATCTCTCTCCGTTAGCCACGAGTTTCTCATATTGTATATGTTGGAGTAATAGGCAGTACCCTTGACGACCCTATGGAAAACGGTACATACAATATAAATGTTAAATGCACTTCTTACAAAAATTTTGCCAGTAACACATTTTTTACCGAAAAAGTTTTTGCAGTGCAGGACTGCGAAAGGTTCGACAGGCGGTACATTCCATGTACATATTAAATTTTAAGTGCAATTATATACAATCAGCACAAAATACAGTCATTTTCGTAGTTTGCGAGGGAAAATTTCATGAAACGTCAGGGATGTGTCACATAGGGATGAAATCAGGAAATAAAATTTATGGCTGGCCACAGATAGTCAGCAGTGGTAGTCGATCCAGCAGTGGTAGCGATCCAGCTGCCTTTTGAACACAACCATTGTATCAGATGTCACTATGTCACATGGGAGTAAATTCCATGACCGAACAATACGCTGGCTGAATGCAAACATCCGATGGTCTAGGCGTGTACGCTCCTACTTTACTTTGTACGGGCGACCGCGCTGG